GACCCCCGGGGGTAGGGTGGGGCCACAATGGGGGATCCAAGTTTTACATAGAAATATATAGGAAAATATCTTTAAAAATCTTCTTCTTAAGAACCGCAAAGCCATGATTGGTCATATTTTCATGGAAGCATCCTCAGGTAGTGTAGATTCAAGTTTGTTCAAATCATGACCCCCGGGGGTTTCTGTGGGGCCACAATGGGGGGTCCAAGTTTTACATAGAAATATATAGGAAAATATCTTTAAAAATCTTCCTCTTAAGAAGAGTAAAGCCATGATTGGTCATATTTTTATGGAAGCATCCTCAGGTAGTGTAGATTCAAGTTTGTTCAAATCATGATTCCCAGGGGTAGGGTGGGGCCACATTGGGGGATCAAAGTTTTACATAGGAATATATATAGGAAAAATCTTTAAAAATCTTCTTCTCAAGAAAAACAAAACCACAATTAGTCATATTGATGTGGAATCATCCTCGGGTAGTGTTAATTCAAGTTTGTTCAAATCATGGCCCCCGGGGTTAGGGTGGGGCCACAATGGGGGATCAAAGTTTTACATAGGAATATATAGGACAAATTTTTAAAAATACTTCTTCTCAAGAACAACAAAGCCACAATTAGTCATATTGATATGGAATCATCCTCAGGTAGTGTAGATTCAAATTTGTTCAAATCATGACTCCCGGGGGTAGGGTGGGGCCAGAATGGGGGATCAAAGTTTTACATAGGAATATATAGGAAAAATCTTGAAAAATCTTCTTTTCAAGAACAGCAAAGCCACAATTAGTTATACTGATATGGAATCATCCTCAGGTAGTGTAAATTCAAGTTTGTTCAAATCATGACCCCCAGGGCTAGGGTGGGCCACAATGGAGAATCAAAGTTTTTAATACATAATAATATATAGAAAAAATCTTGAAAAATCTTCTTTTCAAGAACAGCAAAGCCACAATTAGTCATATTGATATGGAATCATCCTCAGGTAGTGTAGATTCAATTTGTTCAAATCATGACCCCCGGGGGTAGGGTGGGGCCACAATGGGTCATCAAAGTTTTACATAGGAATATATAGAAAAAAATCTTTTAAAATCTTTTTCTACAGAACAACAAAGCCACAATTAGTCATACTGAATATGGAGTCATCCTTAGGTAGTGTAGATTCAATTTTTTTTCAAATCATGACCCCTGAGGGTAGGGTGAGGCCACAATGGGGGATCAAAGTTTTACATAGGAATATATAGGAAAAATCTTTAAAAATCTTTTCAAGAACAGGAAAGCCATGATTAGTCATATTGATATGGAAGCATCCAGGTATTGTAGATTCAAGTTTGTTCAAGGCATCCTCCAGTGGGGCCATAATGGGGGATCAAAGTTTTACATTAGAACATGTATAGGAAATATCTTTAAAAAATATTCTTCTCAAGAACAACAAAGCATGTTGTATATATAGAGATTCAAGTTTGGTGACAGGTGATCAAAACTTTACATATGAATATATAGGAGGAAAATCTGCTGACGAAGAACAGGGCCATATTGACTAGGGCTGGGTATTGAAATCTTTTTTTCGATACGATACATATTGCGATACAGAGATGCAATATGTATTGTCGATACAGACAAATGAGAAAACACTTTCTTTTTTTGTTTGCTGTTGTGTTTTTTTAAAGGGATTCCTTAGTATGTTTTTATTACAACATGAATTTATAATAAAATAAAACTACTTTTTAAATCCTTGTTATTTTATTCCCTCTGAATTGATAGTGCAAGACAGGTTAATGTCATTGTTTGTCCTTTTTTTTTTTAAAAAAAACCAAGGCAGCCTCTTGGTCTGGTTTCAGACAGGCCCTTGTGCTGGAAACGATATTGCCACTGGTGCTAAATACTCTTTCCGAAGCTACAGAGGATGCTTGAACACAGAGATATTCTTCAGCTAGAACAATCAAATTTGGAAAGTCAAAACTCCTTTCCCTCCAGAAAAGAAGAGGGTTTTCCAACATGCCTGTTTGTGGAAAAGCTCTGTATTTTTCTACTTCCCTTCTGGCAATCTCACTATTCTGTAAAGGAGGATCTACATGAGTTACTTCTATGTCATCCTCAAACAATGATGACAATGCTGACTTTTTCAGTGGAGGCTGAAATTATAAAATATAATTTTATTAAAAGATTTTCAATACACATTTCTTAGTAAATAACAGGCTGTAGCTAGTGCTTATTCATTATTTAATCATTAAGTAGAAATAAGCAAAATAGCTATCACCTCACAAGCAGCAACATCTTTTTCATCTTTAGGTGCAGTAGAGTTACTGTCAACTCCATATTTAAACTTGGTAGGGCTGGTTTGGCAGAAATTTCAGATTCAGCTCCTGGTTCCTGCTTGACAATTATGTTGTTTTTGCACAAAGCCACAAAAGTAATACATTTGTTGATGATTCTCTCCCATGTTTCTTCATCAATCATGGTAGTTTTTTTTTAGTTCTGGGATCAAGGGCACTTGCCCCCTCTAGAAAATGAACAATGTTCTGTTGTGTGTATCTTACAGCTAGATTCTTGCCAACCAACTCTTTTATTGATTTCAAAGATGCCGAGTCAGTGTCACAAATTGTAAAATGCTTCTTAAGTTTTCCTAATAAAGGCAAAATAAGTCCTGCGGTAGGTGACTTTTCTTCACATAGTGCTACTGTTGCTGTCATCATTATTTTCATGACTTCCACAAACTTCTCACATCTCTGAATCTCTGAATCTAACATTCCAGCCACTATCTTTCCCTTCTGATTTAAGTGTTTTACATTGTCATCAAGTAAAGTAGCTAAAATGGCAGGCCTTTGCTCAAGAAATCTTTCTAGCATGCTGTATGTGGAGTTCCACGTTTTACAGTCCATGATTAATCTATGAATGGGTATGTTAAGTCCCTCCTGTTTCACTTTCAAGAGTTCAGTTGCTATATTGCTTTTGTGAAAAAATGTTACAATTGCCCTTACCTTGCCAAGGACTTTTGAGGGCGAAGGGTCAGTTAATGCCTTATTTGAGGCAAGGTTAAGCGTGTGCGAAAAGCATCCCAATTTTAATTCTGCTCCAGACTGTTACCTGAATTGCTATGTCCATGTTTGAAGCATTATCCACTGTAATAACTTTAACTTTTTTCTCGATACCCCACTTCATCATAGCTGATCTGAGCTCAAATCCCACTCTGTCTCCAGTGTGACTTCCTCCAAATTTTTCTGTCTGCAAAACTTTTGAGCATAATTTCCACTCAGGTTTTTTCAAATAATGACAGGTAATTGTTCAGTAAGATTCTGTTGCACGTGATGTCCATGCATCAGAGGTCAGAGCCACAGCTTTTGCTGCACTTAAATCAGTTTGAAGTTTAGCTTGTTCTTGAGATAAAAGTGCAGGTATTAATTGCTCACTGACAGTATGTCTGTTAGGTGGGTGATATCTTGGATCAAGTTGGTAGAGCATGTTCTTATTAAAAAAAAGTATTCCTTACAAGATAGTATATGAAATAATTCAGTGAATTTATCATTGTTTATCAAAAGGAATTATCATATCGATGAAAAGAGTACATTACCTGAAAGCTGGGCTCTCAATGGTACTATAAGGTCGCAGGTCCTGGATAATGTATTCTACAACTGCATTGGTAATCTCGTTAGATTTGGCAGATGGCAACTTTGCTGTTCTAGCGATGGTCCATGGGGTAACAGAGGTAGAACTGACACTTCACACCGCCGGTGGGGCTAATGTGTTTACGCTGACTGTGTTGATACTTGACATCGTATTCACGTTATTTGTGGAAGTAATGGCAGCTAAAATATTTTACCAAATTGCTTTGAGTTTAAATAAACTATGATATATATATTAGAGATTTAAAAATTCTGATTGATATTTTATTATCGGTTTCCATGATTCCATGATTTTGAGATTTGTTCGATGCGCCATTTTACCTACCGGAATTGCCTCCACGTTTCACGGTAGCAAACAGGTCAATGTTGTGATCGCGTCTAAGATGGGTAGATAGGTTTGTTGTTCCCCCAGAACTTGCAACTTCTTGTAGACAAATATTACATTTTGCCTTTTGTGTAATGGCACCACACTTTCGACATGTTTATTTGCTTTGAAGTCATGCGTTTAGGGATTTTAGATAGGTCGTTCGAGATGTTAGTCGCTCTGGCTCACCGAAAAGACATTTTTTCTTTTAATTAAATGTCAAAATAATCGAGCAATATGCAAGCATCTCTGTATCGGTTATCGTATCACTAAAAAATATGTTGGAAAAACAAGCCAAAATTTGGGAAGTCCCCAGGTGCATTTTTGGTACATGTGCACTCTAATAGGCAGATACAACCCACCCCCAGGCCCGAGCGAGCAGGATAAAACACCCAGTAATTCTCAGTTTTTTTAAGAAATTTGACCGGGTCTTTAGTACGAAACTATCCCCTGCCACCTATGCACGTTTCACAAACAATTTTACATGATTGGTTTGACAACAATAACATTGCAGCCACTATACGTCACCTCAAAAAATGAATATTTTATAAATATTTCTTTTTTTTAATTGCAAGAGTTTGTGAAACATAAAGGAGAATAAACAGAATGTCTGCCCTCAATAATTTTTGATTAGCCCTTGACTTTTGTCTTCATATTTAAATATTTTTTTGTCAGCACAAAGTGTGTCTGAAAATTAAATGCGTTCTTACTTCTGACTCTGACTTAGAATTGATATATGTCATGCTGGTTTTCATATATCATCAATAGATGATGTGTCCTCATTGTCCTGAACCACATATGCCCTTACCTTTTGGCCTCAAAGTTAAATAATTTGTATAAATGGCAAGGAAATTGTTTTACATGTAAGCCAGACTTATGATTCCTGGTATGTATATATTGTCTCCAAAAAAAAGATGTGTTATACACCATCATTCCCTCTATATAACCATTGAGTTTTCTTAATTTAAAAATGGAAATTAAGTTTAGTAAAATAAATAATGCATTGTCTCTTTTAAAATTCAGGTTAAAAAGGTTGAGCCATTCCCAGAAAACAGGTCATTTGAGCCGAGAAAAACAAGAGCTTCAAGTGAAAGTTCATCAGAATCAGATCAGACGTCGGGAAATTACATACACAGAATACTTAGCATAAATGTGTTAGGACAGCATGGTGGAGAGTTGCTTTCAGAACTTCGATCATCTGCCTTTGCTCCAACAATGGTTGTTGGCTGCATTTGTATGGGAACAGAGGTATGTCTCAAATACTGTAAATCACTTTTTATTCGCAAGAACTTTATTTTCATGTAAATATGCAAGACACTGTGCTCGTCCAACCCCCCCCCCCCCTTCCCCCCGTTAACTTTTCAATACTGAACTCATTTGTGCCTTTTCCTAGCCAATGTTCTCAGGTGAGTGATGTGGCCCATGGGCCTCTTGTTTTTGAGTGACTTGTCAGAAACAGTGAAAGACTAAGACATTATACTTATAATAGGACTTGAGGAGTAGGTGAGAACCATTTGAATTAAGAATGTCAGCCATAACTTCCAGTTGTCACAGGAAGTCATCAAAGAAATTGAAATTTTCAACTTTCCTGTTTTTAAATAAAACGTGCATCATATAATTGTTTTTTTCACAGTTTTGAAATGTTTTGATCTCACATGAAAAAAATGCAACTTCTGGTTATTAGAGAAAAATTACATGTACATAATGTTTTTTTTAAACTTTCCCATATATATCACTTATATATAAAAGTTTTAGAATGATGTTTAACTCACCTCGACGCTTGTACTATACCCCTGATGTCATTGTCGAAGTTATCGTCGGTGTCCCGGTTAAAGTTTTAGGAGCAAGTCCATTCCAAAGTAACTATAAGCCCTACATGGACCAAACTTGCGTGGTTGATGCATCTAGCGATGGACACTACCAGATTTGCTTTGAATGATGGATCTCTTCAACATTTTCTAGATGAGTGACCAGATTAAGGTTTGAAGCAAGTCCAGTCCCAGGTAACTATAAGCCCTACCTGGACCAAACATGTATGGATGATGCATCTAGTGATGGACACGACCAGACTTGCTTCAGATGCTGGATCAGACCTACATTTTCCAGAAGAGTGACTGGGTTAAAGTTTTTGGAGCAGGTCCATTCCTAAATAAAAATATAGGCCCTGTCTGGATCAAATTTGCATGGATGAAGCCTCTAGGGATGGACACTAGCAGACTTGATTTAAATATTGGAACAGACCAACATTTTCTTGATTAGTGAACGTTGTTAGAGCAGGTCCCTTTCCAAGTAACTCCAAGTAAGTCCTATTAAACCAAACTTCCATGGATATTGATCTTGGGATGCACACTTACTAGAAGAAAAAAAATTTGCCTTATTTATGGATAACATTTGTCGAGGTGAGCTTTGTAATCTTTGATAACCTATGTTTATATATATTATAAAGACAACAAATGTCTAGATCAGTAACATTATATATCTTAGTAAAATTCACTTCCTGTTCCATTTTTTTTCTGTCCAGAAAATGAGATTTTGTTCACACAATTGCCAGGCAACAGTACATGTATGCATGCAGTTAAAGATTATCAGTGAGGGAGTCAGCAAGATTCCAGTTCTCCAAGAGCAAGTCTATTTTCTGAGGCACAGCCAAGGTTAAAAAGCCTGTGTGAGGGGAACTGGAATCTTGCTGATATTATATATATTAACTGTTTTATTACCGTAACACCAATACCAAAATTAGACTATTAACTGCAATTTTATTTTATACGCAGTGCAATTATGAGGTGTGCAATATGTTTATTACTAAGAATGTAGATAAAATAAAAGAATAAATTCAATAAAAGGTCTTTGCCTTTGAATCAATAGTTTATAAAATACATGTATCTGCAAGCAATTTTGTTTATTTTATAAACAATTCACATTGTATGTAACAAAGTTTTGTGATCCATCTAGCTCTCAGTGCACATTAGTTTACCATGTTCATAATTACTTGTCACAATTAACAAGTTTCTCTTTCCTGTCTAAATTAGGCCCCACCTCATATATAATTTAACTGAGCTGCATTATGAATATTCATGATTTTATTTGGAACATATCAGTACTTTTCATATGATTAAAAGAAATCGGTAGATGCTCCGAATAGGTGTGTATCAGTTCATCAAACTGCAGCACCTTTTTGCAGGGAATCAGTCTTTTTCCGACGATTTTCAGGAAATCGGCAAAATATATCGATTTACTCATATAGTGAAAAATCAGTAGAGGTATAATAATAAACGACTGAAGTCTAAAACTATCAGGGCTGATAATCAGTCATCAGTTTATTTCTAGAGCTCCATTCAACTTAAAAGTAAACTGAGAAAAACATAGGATGTCAGTAATGTAGCCTAAGTAGTAAACAACGTATATATTGAATGTTGTTTTTTTTTAAATTGTAGATCATTTTTACATATATGGAAATGATGCAAACACATTTGAATAAAATTGTATATGATGGAAAATGTGATGGTGAAACCAGTCTGATTCGGTATACAAAACCTCTGAATTACTTAATAGAAGAAGATCGTAACAAGTGCTTGGATCTCTTGTTCTTGCTTGGTTTCATACAGACGTCTGGATATGAGGATTTATATCCAAATTCTGAAGGAGGAAAGTAATGCTCAAACTAGAATAAATCCTTTGTTGTAGTCCTTGAAATAATATAATAATTTTGAATAATGTCAGTGAATAATTGAACATGAAATGGCACTGTTGTTTCTTTTATCATGTTACTCAATTTTCATTTCATATGATTTTTATATAAATTGTTTAGCAATTGAATATATATCATAATGTTGAATGTTGATTCATGCATTTTGTTTTTCATTTTGAAAAAGTCTTTTACGTATATACATGTATATGCAATATAACTTATTTTTCTACTTTTTGATCTCAAATTAGATTAATATTTGTTTAATTTGGATAAAAATGTCAGATACTGATAACTTTTTCTCACTTGATTTAGTCATAGAGGGCCGAGAGTGAAATTCTACTTAGGTTTTGAACACCAATGGCATGAAATGGTTTTTTAAACTAAGTTCAATTTCATTAGATTTTCTTGAGATAAAAAAATCAGCTTTGCATTATATTTTGTAATTATAATCATGACACCTAATATCCTCTTCAAGTAGTTTTTAATCAGTTATTATTATCATGATTATTATCTTAACTTGTATATCATGAGAACATTCAAATATTTTTATTAATTACTGTCGAATAGACTCACTTTTTTCTGAAGTATTTTCTAATTATGGGTTGAAAGAAATGCATATAAAGAAATGAGAATCACCCATGAGCCATTGTTTTTACAACTTTCTGATTTCAAAGATTTTTTTTTTTTTGGTTTAGTAATTCACCTCTATTTGTTTTCTTAATTTTCTACTCAGCAAATTCAAATTGCCCAGAATTTGATAATGAAGGATATGGGGGCATAAAGTTTTTGGTCTGCATCTGTCTGTCTGCTAAAATAACCTTGGATATAATTTTTGAATGGTTGAGGCTAGGGCTTATGTGTATTCTTTGCGAGAAGAACTTTCCTTAGGTACCAGCACATTTTACCTCTTGACAAATTTCTGTTTCTTTATAACTCTTAACCTTGAATCTGTTAAAAAATGTAAGTTTCCTGGAGTTGATGGAGACTGTTAAGTTGACTGATGACTGTGTACTTGTTTATACATTGTTATAATGAATTTTTAATACATTAATTAAAGTATGTGCTATATACACACATAAATGAAATTTAGTTTACATCAGTTGTATTATTATTTCAGTTATTTTTATCAATGTATGCATGATGCCTTTTCATGAAATTAATACAAATGATTAATGAATTAATAAATTGTCATTGAAGTTTTTTATGTGTTTTTTTAATGACATAATGTTTTGTCTGGAACTGTTGGAACATACAGAAACCTCTCATAATAGATTGGCAAGACTGTTGATAAGGTTACTATAGGTTATGAAAACCAACTGTTTAACACCATTTTATATTTGTATATGATTACATGTATGAAACTGAAAAAAGTATTTTGAAGGACAAAAACAGTATGTTACTTGCCAATACATTCCATTTCCACTATTGAAGAGTTATACTTCTTAGTGCGCTCTTTTGTGAAAAAGTCGGAAAATGTACAAATCTCGCAAGATTTCTGGGACAAACGTAACATAAACAAGTAAACAATATGTTGAATGTCGATGAACAAATCCTAACAAAATGCAAACGAAATATTTTATTGTTGTGGACTTTATATACATCAAGAGTAGGAATGACAACGATATCAATTTATATCTATTGATGATTGTATGTATCGTATGGTACATCTAATACAATACACATGCCTCGGAAATATCGTATTGTTTATTAATGGATGATAAAATTAGGGTTCTCGCTCTCTTACATATGTCTTTTAGTTCTTCTATTCTTTAATTGGAAGGACAAATACATTTAACATTTAAAATTGGATTTGAGATTGGCATGTTTTGTATTATCCGCAACGCCATGCCGTCCCAGTCAGACGACCAAATGCGCCTCTAATTTTGAAGAGTTCACTAATGGAAATCAAACATATTGGTGGTAATTCTTGAATGGTTAATGCAGCACTATTACTTTTTAGCTCTTCTGAGCCAAAGGCTCAAATTTAATGCTATGGCCATTTGTGTGCGTAAACTTTTTAGAATATGGGCCATAACTCAAGAACCCCTTGGCCAATTAGTGTCAAATTTGTCACAGGGTATCCTTGGCACAAGGGCTTCTGTTTATACTAAACCTAGGGTTGTGACCCTTAAACAAGGGGAGATAATTAGGAAAATAGAAACAGAAGTACTGGTTGCTAAAAAATCTATTTCTCAAGAACCACTAGGCAGTTTATCACCAAACTTACAAAAAAGTATGAGGATATGTTGTAGATTAAAATTTGCACAGGCAATCACCCTGGGGCAAAGGGCGTGGTCTCAAGGTCACTTCAAAGTTGACCAAAAATTACATTTTTTAAAATGATGATATTTTGCTTACTATAAGGACTAGGATCATCAAATCTTGTCAGTTGATGCATCTTGGGTCCTTGTAGTACGTCTACTGAAAAGTAGGTCACTGTGACCTATTTTTGAATTTATATGGCTATAATTAAATTTATCAGGTACTAATTGGCTTAGAATCGTCAAACTTTGTCACATGATGCATCTTGGGTCCTCGGAGTAAATTGACTAAAATGTAGGTCACTGTGACTTACTTTTGAAATTTTATTGCTTTATTTGAATATTTTTAGGTACTAATTGGTTTAGAATCACCAAACTTTGTCAGTTGATGCATCTTGGGTCTGCAGAGTTAGTCGACTGAAAAGGAGGTCACTATGACCTATTTTTGAAATTTTATGGCTTATTTAAATATATCAAGTACTAATTGGCTTAGGATCACCAAACTTTGTCACTTGATGCATCTTGGTTCTCCAAAGTATGTCATCTGGAAAGTAGGTCACTATGACCTACTTTTGAAATTTTATGGTTATAATTTTAAAAACATTTTAGGTATTAATTGGCTTAGAATAATCATTTTAGTTTATGCATCTTGGGTCCTCAGAGAATGACAAGTGGGTCACCATTACCTACTCTCAGGTTCTAATTGGCTTAGAATCATCTTGGGTTCTCAGAGTGTTTCATCTAAAATGTAGGTCATGATGACCTACCTTTGGAATTTCAAGTCTTTATCTAAATATACAGGATACTTAGAGGCATCAAATAGAAGTGATAGGTTGTACAGTTTATCAGAAGAGTGACTCAAGGCCCTTGGGCCTTTTTTTCTTGAATTTGGTATGATCAGAAACATTTTAAAAGTTTGAGTGTTTGCATGCATTTTGTTTGTCGACAGCATAGCTAACCCAGAATGAGGATAAACTACTTAAACATATAGTATACGAGGGTCATTCAAAAAGTTCATAGACTTTTGTCATAACTTTTTTTTATTTAAAGTCATATAACAATCAAATTTGGTAAAAATATTTTAACAACAGATTCAAATAATTTGAGTAAAAAAATTGGAATATATCTTGTTATTTATCAAAATTATCAAAGATCTCAGACAGCAAAAATGGGATCACAGAGCAGCGTCAAAATTGAGTTGTTTACTAATTATACACTTTGTAATGTTTATAGCCATACCTCCTATAAATGGCGCATAAACAAAAAAATTAAATGTTTTAATTTAGTATAGTTCTGTTACTTCAGATGTCAAAAGGTAATGTAATAAAAGATATAAATTTCTAAGGGCAGGTAGGCTTGATTAAAAAAAGGGAAAAACCATGACGTCGAAGGACGTCACGGAGCAGCGAGTAGCAATAAAATTTTGTTTTGCAATCGGGAAACCTCTAAAAAAAAACTCTGAAAATGCTGGAGGAACCAGGAAATTTATATAAAAAAAAATTAGCCTTGCATTTGTATATAATGGAAAAGGCAATTTTTTGAGTGGTAGAGACTTTGAATAGGACGATGGACAGTCTGCGAAGAAACAGATTATAAATAAAATTTTTGTCAAAAGAATTAGTAACGTCATGAAACGTGATGTGCGCTTCACTGTTGTAGAACTTGTGAAAACAGAGTTACACGGTAAAAAATGTGAAAACATGGACAATCTAACTTAAGCTACTTGAACTAGGTGTCAAGTGTTATGGACACGTGTTTATTTATGGGGAAAACGCTACAAACCGTGTTTGAAATGAAAAGCAGAGTAATTTTGAGAAACTTTATCGACGTTGTATTTGACGTTACAATGTTGTTAACCGTGATCTGTTACAACGCGAAATGTAATAACAACGCAAAGTGTAATAAACCGGGATTATTGCATTTTGCGTTATAACATTTTGCGTCGATATCAACGCAGAATGTAATAACGCAAAATGTAAAAACAGACTTTTTAGGATTATTACATTTTGCGTTATTACTTTTTGCGTTGAGATCAACGCAAAATGTAATAACGCAAAAAGTAATAACACAATTTTTGGGTTATTACATTTTGCGTTGTTACATTTTGCGTCGAGATAAGCAAAATGCAACAACGGAAAATGTAATAACACACTTTTAAGTCAGTCCGGTTGAGAATAATTTTCAACTGAGTAGTGGATGAAGAAAATAAATGGAAAAAGTAAAACAAAAGGAAAAATAAACATATGCTTATTCATTCATTATATCTGATTTCATCATATATTGATTTCATTAGCCATTTAAAATCAGTTGATATCCAAATCATAGGTATTGCAAATTAAAGACGCGATTGCTCACGTATATGTGTGTGTGTTGGGGGGGGGGGGATTTCGTTGATCAGTGTATCAGTTTGCTTTTGCTTTTTGATAGGCACATGCCTGAAATTTAGTAAAGAAATCTATTTATTTTTACTGACAGGTGTAAATATAGCAGGAAGGGGGTTTCTTGACAATAAAAATTTCATACTGTTTTCAAATCATGTGTATTGCAGACCAGCAAAAATAAAATTCTCTCTCTTTCTCTCGCTCTCTTCAACAATAAAATGGATGGTTTCTGCATTTGCATAAAAATACAATGATCAACATACGAGTAACCCCTACCCCCTGCTTCTCCTCGCTAGACACACACACACACATGCACTTCTAATTTGCTAATCAATGTACACATGCATGTCGTACATGCATATCAAGACTTTTTAATGGACCCATGGTCAATCTTTGGTAATTAAGAATG